CTTAATATATTTCATATAATTTTATTTTTATATTTTATATAATTTTATTTACCGGATTTAATATTAGTCTTTTAATTATCTTTGTAAGTGTATTATAATAAAAAGATCAATAGTTTTTAACATATTAGTTTATAGTGCAGTTACAATATGATTATATTTTTTTTAAAGTAGTTATACCAATGCAAAATGCATTATTCAAGAATGTCTTTAAATTTTTGTCTCAAATAATTTAGATATTAATATATGTATATGCCTCCTGTAAAAATTATGGTATCCATTATGGTAGATAAAAATCTGCGATGTTTGATCGATTATATATCAGAAAGATGATAATTTGAGCTCTTTTTGCTGTGATGCGTTATGAATTTAGCCTCGAAATCACATTAAAAAAAAAGTTAATGAAAAACGAGTTTTAAATAATTAAATTTGTGAGAAAACTCATGTAACAACATCGTAAATATTTATTGCATGATATTAAAGTTTGTCGTCAATAAAAAATTTTGATTTTATACTTTTTCTCGAGAATTGAGGATGTCTATTAGATATGGCAACGTCGCACTTTCAAGAACCGACAAGAAGATTGTCTTTCGTACCTGATCATTTCTTTGCGAGAGCCATTTTACACTTTTTTTTTTGCTAAAACTGTATTTTTGATATATTTTCCTTTATAACGCAATTGTGCGGATATTTTTTTTTCTTTCATGTAAAATATATATCTTGACAGATAACTTGTACCTATATTCGTCTGCTGTAAAAATGCGACGTTGCCACGATCTAATTTCTCTTATTTACTATGATACGGAATATTACGGATAATTTTCCTTTCTTTTTAAATTAATTTATTTTAATTTATTTTTTATTATGATTTAATATTGTAAGTATATAAAATATTTCGTTTTATTATTAAATATATTTAAATTTTATATAGCGATATATTTGCTTGAAATTTAGAAATTTAGAACATGTTTAAGTCTGTCGTTGACTCGCATAGTTATGATATAATTACCAGGAACTATGTATTTTTTTTTTACACTAACTGATTCATCTATTTTGTGTATAAAGGTATTAAGAGATAGGATTAATGTTCCCGCGCTTTGAACGAAAGAACCCATAATGGGGAATTGCTTTATTTGATGTTATGAAAAGCATTGTAAGTGCTTACTTTATAATTCACATTATATCTACATTGTAGATTCTACAATATAGGGATTATCTTGTCTGAAGTAAATATTGAAATCGAATAATTAGTTTAAAGTGGTTCTAACCTGACTACATACAGTCAAGCTGACATCTTTAATAAAAAGATTGATTATATCAGAAATAATGTAGCACAAAATTTAAAACTTGATTTTTTTAAACTCTGTTGTAAAAAGAATTTTTAAATTCTTTTTAATAATTGAATTCAATACAATTAAAATAATAATAGATAGAAATATTAATTTCATCAATGTAGAGAAGCCGAGTTTTAGATATGGCAACGTTGCATGTTTACTCTCCGCAGTCCCGCGACTTGCTAGGTTAGAAGATAAATATTTGTTATAATATCCAGTTTAATATTCTATTACATACTATTTGAAAAAAATTATGCGATGTTACAACCTACACAGAATCGCTAATGAGGAACAACGTTGCCATGTCTCGAATATAAAGTGAAAAACAGCCAAATTACATTTTTATTCGATCGTATTTTAATATCATACGGTTAAGAGCATACTTCTGCAACATATAATTAAGCACATAGTAAATTAATTTTTCTCAAATTTTGGAATCGATTTGTCTTGTACATTATTAGCTTTCGATGTGCAAACGCATCTCGATCGCCATAAGCGCAATGTTAAACATCGAGTGGAAACTTAATTTTCTGAACGATTATACTCAATAATTACAATAAATCGAATAAGTAAATCGACCTCCCCAAACTTCATACAGACATTTATTAAATTAGTTCTATATAAATTTTAAAGATATTTTGTTTTTTCATATTGGACAAACCATTTTAACGTGCATGACCCGTATTTTCTTTATGACGATATAGTTATTATCACGCGTATTAACTATCTCAACTATTTACAGATCTATTTTTCAGATTCGAAAATCCTTTTCTAAGATTAGTATATGCATCTGTGATATGTGAGATAGAGTTTATGCCGAGAACAAAAAATTTCGAAATTGAAATCTTAAGAAAAATTTTTTGTTGTTCTCGGCATAAACTCCAGACATATATTAATGCATATACTTTAATCCTAGAAAAGGATTTTCGAATCTGTAAAAGAGGGAAAAAGTAACTTATATACAAAAATTACAATTTAGTTATCATAGACGTTAATGGCTTTAAGATCCTCTTAATGTACTTTGTTTTTTATGCTGAACTTTAAAAAATTCAATAATGATATTTGATATTTTTATAATTACTTACATTAAAAAATAAACGTTTTTTCTTAGTTCCGGGTTCTTTCCTAACGATTTAGATTTCCCGGGAAATTAACAACATTAAAATAATTTAAAAATTAACTGTTTACATGATAGTTTATTTTTTATATCAAAGTATGTCCGAATAAAATATCTCATAAATTATTGATTTTTTAAATAACTTTACGTTAATACTTATATGCAGAATATATAATTAGAAGGATATGTATTATGTAAAAAAAAAGGTTCAGATTATATAAAAGATCATATAATTTCATTAAAAAAATTTTTTTTTTTTTAAATTGATTTTATTATTTTTTTGTCTCTTTAGAAGGACAAATAACAATAAAATAAATTTTTTAAGAAATTAAGATCATACAATTTTTGTTGGAACATTTTTGCCGATCGGGCTTATATTTAAACTATTCATCTGTTATTCAAAATACACTGAATATTTGGAATACTGTATATTTGAAAATAATTGAGAATATGTATTAGAAAAAAAATTTATCTAACATAAAATTATTGTCAAATATCTAATAGTATTATAACAATTTATTATAATAATTTTACTGTTTCAGAGAAACTTGACTGAATATTATAGTGCTATAGATTCGCACAATATGATGATGATATTCGCATCTATGTTATACGAACGCCGTATTATTTTCATTTCGAAACGTCTATCGAGGTTGAGTGCATGTGTACAAGCATGCAACGCTTTAATTTATCCAATGATTTGGCAACATATATACATCCCTGTTTTACCGTTATCATTAATAGATTATTTATTGGCACCTATGCCATTCTTAATTGGAGTACCTACACTAACGCTAAAGGTATCTATATATTTATCTACCTACCTACCTACCTACCTACCTACCTACCTACCTACCTACCTACCTACCTACCTACCTACAGGTTTCCCAAATTTAAATAGCCAACTTTAGGAACGTTTACGGAACTCATAAATTAAGAAAAAAATCATTCAAATATATGCTCTGTTTTGTTTTAAAAAAAATCGCAAAAAACAATAAAATGTAATTTTCAAAATATTATTATTTTCAAAGCTAAATATTATTGTTTTCGTATAGGATTTTAGCGATAATACTTTAGAGGCAATGCGAGAATATGAACGCCGATTTCCAGACAGGAGAGTATTGGTGAGTCATTATGTTAACTAAATCAGTGTTTGACTGCAACATGAGCAATACAAAATACAATGCGTGCATTGCTGCAAGAGGCCAACATTTTCAAACAATATCTGCATTAAGGGGGAACACCACTATGATGGCCGAAAAAAGACTATTTTTATGAATTTATTTTGTGAAAACTAATAGCTTCTGTGAATTATTGTCTTTATATAAAGTATATACATTTACGAAATTATTACAAAAAATTCATTAAATAATATTAACATTTCTAGCCTTAGTGCTCATTGATGTGCACCTCGTCTGAAAAAACATGGGTGCATAGACGCTCGTGTTGCGTCTGAACGAGAGTTCTAAAATAAAAAAATTTTTTTTATTTTAAAGTGTATATAAGTATAGTTTTAATTAAGCATACTAATTTTTTGATAAAATAATTTTAGATAAAATAGCACTGTTTAAAAAAAAAGAGATGATTTTGCGAAAAAAATCGTTACTTTTTCTTATTATTTTTCAAAAACTAATAATCCAATTGAAAAATTCGTACGCTTAATTGAAGACAATTTTGTTGTAAACATTCTGTCTAAAATTCAAGTCATTTGGATAAAAATTGGCCGAGATATGTGAGCGCTCAATTACGAAAACGTGGTTTCGAGAAAAACGTGTTTTATAACCGATTAGTTTATGCATCTGATCACGTGCATTCCATCACATATTTACTATAATATCGTTACGAATTTCAATATAATATTTTAGGGGCATATTTTTAAGACTCTAAGCATTATAAAAATGCAAAAAAAAATCGATTTTTTGAACCCATCACAGTAGTGTTCCCTCTTAAGCAAGTAACATCGCGAATAAATAAATAATAAATATAAAAATTTAAACTATGTTTTAAAACAAAAATTAAACTTTTTGTTTTTTTTTCTTCAAAACTAAACAAAAACGAGCATATTCTAAAAAACTTTTTTTCTTGGTTTATTGATCCTTTACATGTGTCCGAAGTTTGGCCATTTCAAATTCAGGACACTATAATTAAAGATATAATTGAAGAAAATCTATTTAACATGTGAATGAAAAGTAGGAATTTAATTCTTTAGATTTAAATTTTAAATATTAAAATACTTCAATATTAATAGTACTTTTTAAAAATGATACTTTTTAAAAATGGTAAAACGAAGAAATTAGCGCTGATATACATCAATTTAATGCTTAGAATTACAAATCATGGGCAACACAGATCTATCATCCTTAAACATAAACATTCAGTTTATAAAAAAGATCTTCTAAAATTCTCTCTACTCTGGGAGAGGGTATTAAATTTTATTAAGATAATTTGAAAGAAGATAATACTTTTATTTAAGATAAAAATAAAGATAATATACTACCTTGATCAAAAAGTTCCCGGAATTCATTCAGAAAATTCAAAATACAAGTTTTATTCATCAAAAGTGATATTGTCCCCTTCAAAGTACTCCCCATCGACTGCAACGCACTTATGCCAGCTGCGCTTGATCCAGCTCTCGAAACATTTCTGGAACTCTTTCGGTATAGCCATCAGACCCGTCTTCGATTTTTCCATTACCTCCTTTCGGCTGTTAAAACGCATTCCCCGTAATTTTTTTCATGTCACTCATAAACGGCTGTTTTCTTTAGAGTATCACTGCCGAAACAGTTTCCCAATATTTCCAAGGTTTTCACACATTGAATCCATTTTTAACACAAAATTTAATATAAACTCGTTGTTGCAAATTCAACTCCATTTTTAAAACTGTAAAAAATCGAAAATACGTGCAGTAGATATATTCAAGACGTAACTTTTACAAATGTCAAGCTATGGTGAAAATTTGGTGGGAATGTCAATGATAGATGTGGCAACCTAACCAAAAAAACAGAACTCAAATCAGCTGACTCAGAGCATCACTTGGTGGTAATTCCGGGAATTTTTTGATCAAAGTGGTATATTCTAATAATCTGAATAAAAATAAAATAGTCATTACACGATAGGCTATCGAGAATAATCCAAAG